AGCTCAAGTATGCAAGTGTCTGTCACCCAAGTGGGAGACCTGGATTGAGTTCCCCAGCTCCTGGCTTCGGCCTGGCTAGCCTCAGCCACAGAGGTTCTTGGCAGGAGAGACCCTAACCAGGAAAAGGAGTGAGACAACCGGGGTCCTCCTGTCACCCTTGTCCCATGCAACCCGAGGACACCCGAGTCTGCCACAGATGTCCACCACCTTCAAAAGTTCCCGCTGGAAGCCAGGGACGTAAAAAAGCAATCAAACCCACCAGGCAGACAGTACTGGGTTATTTCCAATCAGAACTTCTGTCTGCAAATAGGTCACACACCCACCGATTGGAGTTGACCCTACAGGGCAACAGAAAGCCCAAAAATATCCCACCTAGCATCTGATCAGCAAACACTTTTTTTTTTTCCTTTGAAACCTCTACTAGGCACAGTGGGAGCTGGAGGCAGTGTAATTTCCAGGTCAAGAACTGGAAGCTCCACAAAGAGCAAGAAGGGTTTCTCCTTCCTGATTTGACCTGTTGGAGTGGTATCTTAGCTTCCTCCCCTGCTGTCCCCTCATCTGCAGTAAAAGTCAAAGCTGTCACAGGCACAATGGGCCTCTTGTTCTTCCTCAGGCTGGCTATTCCCTTTTTTAAAAAATGTATTTATTTTCATTGCAAAGGCAGATTTACAGAGAGGAGAAGAGACAGAGAGGTCTTCCATCCACTGGTTCACTCTCCAAATAGCCACAACAGTCAGAGCTGTGCTGATCTGAAGCCAGGAGCTTCTTCCAGGTTTCCCATGTAGGTGCAATGACCTAAGGATCTAAGCCATCCTCCTCTGCTTTTCCAGATCATAAACAGGGAGCTGGGTTGGAAGTGCAGCAGCCAGGACTAGAACCGGCAACCAAATGGGATGACGGTGCTGCAAGGTGGAGGATTAGCCTATCAAGTTATCATGCCAGCCCCCAGGATCTCCATTCTTGCTCACTGCATGCCAGCCTCTACTTGGCTACTCTCTGTTCAACTCTAAACCTTTGCATATGCTGCTATTCCCTCTGTCTGGCACAGCCTTCCTGCCAATGTCGCTATCCCGCCCTCTTTTCCTTCAGGTTCTGACCAAATATGACCTCATGTGATACAGCCTCTGAAGCGGGACCTCGGGCAAGGGCAGGTGCTGAGCTGTTCGGGCAGGAAAGGACAGCAGGCAGGGAGGGTTCCTCAGTTGAGACAGCGTCAAGTACAGTTCTAAGCAGAACCCTCTTTAATCTGTATCTTCCAGAGTTCCCCACTCTGACAGCGGCAAGGCCAAGTGCCACAGCCTGGCCTGCACACGCTGGGGTGCACAGACCTTCCCTGCCTCCTCAGGCTTCCCCTAACTGCACCCAACCCAAGTGGTGTCTAGAGATGTTTTTTAAAACTACAGGTGCACTACAAATATCATATACAATGACCTCCATACTATGTGCATAAAGCGATTATGAAACATAAATTAATTTCATGCTTAGACTCAGGTCCCACCCTCAAGACACTATATTTACGCAGATGTAAGTATCCCAAATCTCAAACCCAAAGCACCTCTGGGTGCCACGCATTTTGGATTAGGGGTATTACAGTCGGTTCTGGGTTGGCTCCTTCTCTGTGGTGACAGATGTAACTGGATGACATCCAGCCTATTCGAACTCAATCTGGTGGGAGAAAACCCACCTGGCCCCTCCTGAATGAAAAATTCTGGGTTACAATGAAGTCATAGTAATAGCAGGTGTCTCTCTCAGCTTCCTCTGACCTTCTCAGTGCAATCCACCTTGCTGTTTCCTCATCTCCCCAACCTGGAGGCTGGCGGACCCACTTCCCCAGACTGTGCCCAGCAGCTGTGACATCAGCTCCCATTTGCACAGCTAAATGCAGCTTCCCCTCCAGGATGTGCCTCATCACTCCCCCACCTTGCCCCCCGCCTCCTTCCCAGGGTCTCATCTGCCACCCACAGGCCCCTGCCCGCACCCTTTCCAATGAAGAGACCTCCAAGGCCCCAGCCAGAGGCAGGAAAACAAGGCAGTTAGTCACTTTGCTTCCGTTATCCACTGGCATCACGTGGCCAGCTCCTTTTAATGGAAGTTGTCATGGCAACAGGAAGTCAGCTCCTGCTAGCTCTGGAAACCAAAACAAAATTAAGAGGTAGCTGAGAGGGCAGCGAGAGCCAGGATAGAGTCAGCTGGGTTTCACTGGAGGAAATATCGCAGTGGCCATGCTGTTCCCCAGTGGCGTTTGGGGGACAGAAAGAAAATAAAAAAGATGCATGCCCCCCGCCCCGGAGAAGCTCAGGCTAAGGTGGTGGGTGTCTCCACACGGCTTACTCTGCCAGGTGAGTAATCGTCATCTCTCTCTATGAATACCCTGCCATGCAGACACGTGTAAGTAAGACTGCCTCGTCTCCAAGGTGGTGCCGCTAAACAAGTCCAGCTGCAGTCTCTCCTTATCCCAATCCCCCACCCCCGTCCTCCCCAACACCCGCCCTTCATTGTGGGCTATGACCTGATGCTAGCCCTTCTGCACCCGGCACCATTCTCCCTTTCCCTGCTCCAATTCCTTCTCTCCCGCCCGGCCCCAAGCCTTCCCCTAAAAACTTGCTCATCTTCCACAGATCTCCTTTAACATCTCATTCTGCACCTGCTCAGCTGTCTCCATTCAGCACCTCCCCCCCTCAGACCTCTGTATTTATCTTCCATATCTTCCCAAGTGGGTGTGCCAGCCCCTGCGGGTCATGCAGCAGGCCTGTGTTGTTTACCACTATACCCACAGACCCTAACCCAGTGTCTGATATTCAGTGTCTGGGATTGGAAACCAGCTCTGGTTCGGCTCGGTGCTGCTTCCCCCCCTGTCTGCTGGATGCTGGGTCCTACTGGCTTCCCAGGTCAGCACTGGATAGAGCTCTCAGCGTCGCGGTGGCTGCAGCCTTACAAAAGGGGAAGGCAGCCCTCTGGAAGGCTAGGAGGCACCTTCAGTAGGCTGTGAGCCAGGGACGGGGAGAGGGCAGATCTGACCCTCCGGATTTCAGACAAAATGCTCTCCCTCCTGTTTCTCTGCACACAGGCTCGCTCCCACTGCGGGGAGAGAAGGAAGCAAGCAAAGGGCATGAACTTGTCACCCTGGCTGAACAGGGGGCTCAATGCCCAAAGACTCGAACCCACTCCCCTTCACTGGCTCCAAAACATCCAGTCCTTTCTTTGGACCATACAATTTTGTCATACGCACCATGAGACTAGTACCACCCACTTTGTGGTAGACACAGATGGACATGTTTCTGGAAAGGAGATAGTGAGAATTTGGCCCTGACGTTGGATCAACCTGAGATTTGGTGAGCCCTTTGCCAGCTGGCTACTCTTGAGCAAGTTGCTCCACCCCACCAAAGCCTTGGGTTCCTTGTCTATAAAGTGGGAACAACTCCACCCACCTCACAAGTGACTGCTATGCAGAAGAGGGGAATCAGCTAATTAACAGCCATGCCATCTCTAGTGATAAACATAGGCAGTGTTGTTTTATTTTAAATCAAATAATTTTTCCAGGATCCACACCGACCTGTCGCAATCTTGAGCACGGGAGGGTGGGGAGGGCTCTGAAAGTTCTGATGGAAACGGGGACTAGACAGCGATCTTTGTGTCTCCCACGGGGGTCTCTTGAGCAGGTCTGGAAAGGGACCCTGCATATCCTGCGCATTTCCTACTTGAAAACTCTAGCCTGTGCATCTAGCCCTGGGCTGACAGACTGAACACAAAAGGACCTGCTACACACACACACACACACACACACACACACACACCAGAGGGTGGGGCAGCAACAGGTGCCTGCCTCCAGGCTGCCCTTGGCAGCTGCCACCACATAGAGAAGGGCTCCTCCGAGGGTACTAGGTGTTGCCACCCCATGCAGACACCCCCACTTTCAACACACATGCATGTGTGCAAGTGAGGCCCAGGGGTCAGGCTGGCTCATGAGATCTTTAGGATTCAGGTTCAGAGGCAGCTGAGCGATGTGGTGGGGAATGAGTAACAGAGCTTAAGAAATCTACCAACACACACACACACACACAACCACCATCTTATTTACACAAACTCACGCATCACACACAGACCTAGATTCACCACAGACAGGCAGACACTCAATACACGGACCTGTTCTCACAGACTCACCGCCTCAGGTCCTCCCCACACAGGCGTGGGCGTGTGTAGGCGCACACATACACATGCACACACACGTGCACACACCCAAACACACACCACACACCCTCCAGGCATCCGGATGCCATGCACTCCCCTCTTGCGAGGCTGCTGCTGTTAACCTTAAAGGTCCCGGGTGGGGTGGGGGGGGCAGGCAGTGTCCCTCTGATTCTCACCTTCCTGCGTGTATGTTGGGGGCTGGGGAGCAGCAGAGGACAGGGTGCTGAGGGGACACTGCCTTCTGGTTGAGGCACGGCTGCCCCAGGGGCTGGCAGGGAGGCCAAAGGCCCCTGATTCTTGGCGGTCGCAGGGATGGCGGGGGGCGGGGGGAGGGGGGAGAAGGTTTTGTTTTCCCAAATGGAAGCCCCCGCTTTCCCACTGCTTTCCTCTTCTACAGCCTCATCCGCCTCCCCCATCACCTCCACGCAGCCTGCTCGTGCCCCCCTCCTCAACTCCAGCCCCCAGCACGTCCCTCTCTGACGCACACAACTCCCCCCCTCCTACCCAAGAGGGGTCCTGCTCAGATGCGGCAGGCTTTGCCCCCAACTCCCACCCGGAGGTGAGCACAAGCTGCAGCACCTACTTGGGCACACAGCTCTGAAAAACATCCCCCCCAGCCCTGCCGACCCTCCCGCGCCAGCTCACCACTCCACCCACCCCTCCAACCCTGCACCTGAGGTAAACGTCACCGCCCCGCCCCACCGCCAGGGGTCACCCTCCCTGCGCCACCCTGTCCCCTCTTGCGCTGTTTCTCAGCTCCGGTGGCCTCCCCGTGGATGGCGGCCCGTTACCCCTAGCCCGGTGGCGCCTACCTCTTTCTTGACCGTGCGCAGCAGCCTCTGGCGGGTCTCGGCCTCTGAGGGAGAAGACACGAGAGCGAGGTCAGTCGAGGAGCAGGAGCTGAGCCCGGGGCGACCCCGCTGCCGCCGCTCCCGCACCCCCGGCGCCCACGGCCCTCACCGGCGGGGGTCAAAGCCATGGCTGCGCGCGGCGCGGAGGCTCCGGCTCCCGGGCTTGGCGCGGCGATGGCGACGGCGGCAGCTCCTGCTGCTGCTCCTCCTGCTGCTGCTGCTGCCGGTGCGGCGGGCGGGGCGGGGCCGGGCACCGAGTGACGGCCGGAGGGCGCACGACGTCAAGCCCGGCCGCGACCGCCCCACCCCTGGGCAGCCCAGGCGTGGCTAGGTAGATCCTGCGCGCCCTCAGCCCCTGGAGCTATCTTTCTCCCTGCCTGGGGACATCAGACTTGGAACCTCTAGGCCAGGCCGTAGGAAGAGACGAGAGAACTGTCACTTTTTGCCTCTTTAGAATGGATATGACGTGGTGTAAAATGAAATACTGGGGTATCAAGCATGGGACGCAGACCCGGGAACCAGGGGCCGACGCTATGGATGGCGGCTGCCATGGTTACGACTATTGTTATCATTGTTAATTGTTGTGTTGCTTTCAAGATACACCAGCTGTCATCCAGGAGAGGCCACAGGTCAAGGACCTCTTCCCCTTCGTGCTGGTCGTTGGGGTGCATGGAATCCTCCCAGGAGATTGGCCTCAGTAGGATGCACTTGTCTTCCTTCTTCCTTTGGAGACTGGGTAGCAGGGAGCAAACGCCACAGTACAAAGCCTTGTCCTGCCTGGAGTTCCACCCCCCACCCCCCCCCTTGGCTGCAATTGCTCTTAGCAAGTCAATCTTTGAAATTGGTGGGGTTTTATTTTTTTCTTTCCATCCCAATCACTGAGTGACAGCCATTGACCTATACTATGCCTCCTGGGACGTCTGGAACTTTGCTTCCAGGATAAAGGGCCTGACAGCACTCAGCAGCGACAGCAAGGTGGGCCTGACTGGGCTCCCACACAGTGCCATGATTCTGAGTCCAGGGCCTGGTACCCTGGAGCATTCAACACTATGGTATGTTTACCTAAAAGCAGCTTTCAAAGGCCTGGATCCTCCTTTATTCCAGATCCAGAAAACGCACCTGAGTGAGTCCCAAAGCCTTCCCCAGGGTCTGGGAATTGTGTCACCTGGGCCATGCTACCCTTTTGGCTGCAACTCAGCCCTTGTTGGTTGACCATAGCCAACAGCAGTAAGTCTGCATTCTCCTACCTTGTCCCTCTGGTTCCCTCTACTGGGAAAGCTCAGCTTTGCACTCATCATCAATGAGTCTTGGAAAGAACCGGTTTACTTTATTTACAAAGACGCCAACATGAAAGAATTACTTTGGAGCAAAGAGGCATGGATAACTGGCACAGCACATGGCCTCCCAAAGAATAATTAACAATAATAGCTACAATTTATTGAGCACTTAATGTATGCTAAAAACATTGCATGTGATATCTTGTTCAGTTCTTTATACCAGAGAGCCTTGTCACATAGGATTTGCCTGTAATCTGCATTTTGGAGCAGAGACTTGGAGAATTTAAATAGTCTGAACAAAGACATGCATCTAGAAAAAAAGAAAAAAGAGCACGCATGAGAGAGAGACAACATCCAAAGCTGGGCGCTCTTATCGGAGGACCCCTAGTCAGTGTTGCATTGTGGGTACTTTGCAGCAGAGGGCCCTGTGGTTATGAAACTTAGTTGTGTGCATCCACTTGCCTAGGTTATGAAGCACCCAGATATTTGGCCACATTCTGGGTATGCTGTGAGGCTGTTTCTAGATGGCATGGATAGCAGTGAAGCAGGTGGTCTTGCCCGATATGATTGAGCTGTGACCAAGTCATCTGAAGATCTGAGTAGACTAAGTGCCTGGTGGTTTGAAATTCTGTTCTTGGTTTGGAACCTGACTTGAAACTTTGACTCTTCCGAGGCCTTAGGCTATCGGACTCAGAGAAGGCATCCATCTCGCTGGGTCTCTAGTTTGTTGACTACAAATCTTGGAACTTCTTCGAAGATGCTCTTGCATGAACCATGTTTACAGCCAATTGCATGTCCTCGTGTGTGCGCATGTGTGTAGGTGTGTGCACTTGATCCTCTGGTTCTACATCCATGGATTCAACCAACTGTTGAATTTTACATCTGTACTTGTACAGACTTTTTTCCCCCTTGTCCCTGTCCCCTAAGCAACACAGTATAGCAACAATTTGCATAGCATTTACTGTCGCGCCCACGTGTCTTATCGCCCCACAATAAGAGGCAGACGCGAGTGAAGCCTTCTGCGGTAAAATTTATTGTGCACACCAAGATGAGGAGGAAAGGGCCCTGACCCCGGCAGGCTGTCTGCTCTTATGTGCTGACTGGCCCCGCCTCCGCCGATGATAGGTCGGCGTCATGATTATGCAGGGTCCTGGGCGACTGGATTCGTCAGTCCCAGTGTTCATGCGCCGGCCACGCCGCAGCTCACTGGCGCCTGCGCAGTACCGCGAAAGCTACGTGACTCTCCACCAGACACCAAGATGTAGCCTCTCTGGCCGGCGCCATTTTGGGTACGGCATGTGGCCAGTACATACAGATGCGGCTGGCAACAATTTACATTGTAATTAGGGATTATAAGACAGCCAGAGTTTATCCTAAATTTCTGAGGGTGGGTATGCATAGCTTCTGTGCAAATACTATGTATTTTATATGAAGGATTTGAGCACCTGTGTATCTGCATAGGTGTCTGCATAGGATCCTGAAACAAACTCCCCACGGGCAGCAAGGGATGACTCTTGATTCATGTGCACACACACAGAATTCTTGTTGTTTCTCCTGAGAACCCTGCTACCCTTGCAACCTCAGCATCTGTTCCCTTCCCCCTCTTCCTAGTAACAGCGGGTTTGTCCAGAAATCCACCTTCCTCCCCTTGGCCACACATCTTGAAGGAAGTCCTTCCCTTCCCAGGGAAGATCCAGGCCCACCAAGATGGCCCTGCTTCCTTTATCTGTGATTGGTTTAGACGGGAGCATCTGATGCCTTGCTGGCCAATGAGAGGCGGGCAAACATTCTCTCTACTCTTGGAGGAGGGGGAAGAGAACCCCTGCATCTGGACATTGACACACGATGTACTTGTGCTCATCTGAGAGTGCAAGGACATGGCTGATAGAACCAGGAGCATCACAGACCACCAGCGCCTGAATACCCTCACTGGTCTTGCCAATCCCTTGAAAAGTAATTGATACAGATGATTGAACTTACTTCTGCATTCTCAGCTCTACTGAGTTGTCCATGTTTTCTGAATTTCTTGTTATATTAGAAAATGCCTTTTTAAAAAAAAAAGTATGTATTTTACTTATTTGAAAGTCAGAATTACAGAGAAACGCACCTTTCATCCACCAAATCACTCTGTGAGTGACAACAATAGCCAGGGCTAAGCCCAGCTAAAGTCAGGAGTCAGAAACTGCTGGGTCTCCCATAACAGGTGCAGGAGGGGCCTAGGTATCTTCCTGCTGCTTTCCCAGGTGCATTAGCAGGGAGCTGGATTGGAAGTGGAGCAGCCAGAACAGGTACTGGTACCATATGGAATACTGGCACTACAGGTGACAGCTTCACCGCTAAGCCACAACACTGATCTCAGAAAATATTTTTCTCACTGTGAAGTCTTTGGGCTAGAGTTTTTCTCTGCCATGCAGTTGAAATCATCTTATTGATGCAACAGGGCTTTGTAATGTATGCCTGCTTCCACGCACATAAACAAGGAAAAAAAGGCAGCATGCTTTTAGACATTCTCATTGATGTGAATGTTGCTGTGATGGGCACCTGGGTGCAGGTCCTTTGTGAATATACTAAACACGCTAAGTAAACACGCTTGTGTATTTAGCCCAGGTATCTACCTAGGAGTAGCACCGGTGCGTGATATGCTGGCTCCATGTTGAGCACTCTTAATTCTTTCCCAAAGGGACCACACCATTTTGTACCCTACCAACAGTGTTTTTAAATGTGGAGTTTTATGTGCCATATTTTTTTTACCAGTCTATTGAAATATAATTTGCACACCAAGAAATGTACACAAATGTACAGATAAGCGAGGTTGTCTTGTCATCTGATCACACACATAACCAATGCCCCAATTAAGAACAAAGCACTGGGGTTGGCACTGTGGCATCATACGTTTAGCCTCATCTGTGGTGCTAGCATTTCCATATGGGTGCTGGTTTGAGTCCCTTACTCCATTTCCAATCCAGCTCCCTGCTAATGTGCAGGGAAAACAGAGAAAAATGACCCAAGTCCTTGGGCCGCTGCGTCCATCAAGAGAAGACTTGAAAGAAGCTCCAGGCTTCAAACTGGTCCAACTCCAGCCATTGTGGCCATTTGAGGGAATAAACCAGAAGAAAGATTTTCTCTCTCTCTCTCTTCCTCCCTCCCTCTCTCTCCTCCTCCTTCTCCTTTTCCTCATCTGCCCTTTAAAAAACAAATCTTCAAAAAAGGACAAAGCATTTGTAGTACCCCAAGATTCCCCACTATTCCTCTCTTCTCCATTTCTTTCATTTTTTAACATGTAACATAAGAGTATTTTGTCATTTTCATAGTATGATTCAGTGAAACACCATTTATAGCTATATACCAAAGGTCCTACATCCACACATTTTGTGCTGTTTCTCTATTAACCATCACAAATAAGAGAACTAAAGACATGTGATGTTTGTCCTTTGGGGTCTGGCTTTATTTCTCCATGCTACTGACAAACAAACAAACAAACAAACCACAAACTCTCATTTTAAAAATCTGTCTTCTTAGTCAGTGTGAAATGGTCTCTCCTTGTGGTTTGTATTCTCCTGGTGACTAATTGTGTTGAACATCTTTTTACATGGCTGTGAGTCATTTGTCTTCTCTGGAGTCCTTTGCCCATTTTTAAATGGGAGTGTTTGTCTTTTTGTTGTCTTGTTATACCAGTTCTTCATGCACTGGGGAGACGAGACCCTCAGAACTCAAATGTCAGGAGTGAG